CGGCCGTCGTTCTTCTGATTGGGCGAGACGACCTCAACCTCGCCCTCGGTCACGACGACATTCACCAACGGATCGGACTCGTCGCCGCCAACGGTGATGGCGAATTCGGTCCCGTGGTCGATGACCTCGAACTTGGGCGTCGCTACGCGGAATCCCGTCGCCCACGAGGGAGCAACCGCCGCCAACTTGCCGGCGTACAGGGCCCCTTGGTTCGGGTCGATCGGCACGAAATGGGCCGGCCCTTCCAGCACGACGATCGCGCCTTGACGGAACTCGACCTCGAGCAGCCCGCCCTCGAACTTCACAACATTGCCAGACTGCAGCGTCTCATCGACGAGGAGCGCTTTGGCGCCGTCGGACCAAACGACCGATTCGACTCGCTTGACCGTGGCGACGACTCCCGGCCAGCGGTCAACCGCCGCCACCGCGTTACCGGCACCCCGATCTTGGCCGCCGCGATAGACGAAGCCCAGGAGTAAACACGCCGCGATCGCCAAGCCGACGACCGACCATACGGCCCTAGAACGTCCGCCGCGAACAGCGACGGTCGCCGCGGGGCGTTCGATCTCTCGAAGGATGTTGTCGCGCACTCTCGCCAACCTCACCGCGCCGAAGAGGTCGGCGTGCATGCCGGCGTAAGCGAGGTATTCCGCTCTCCGCTCGAGAGAGTTCCGCAGGAGGTCTTGGAGCTCGGTCCGATCGGCTTCCGAAAGGTTGTTGTCGCACGCGGAGCTGAAGAGCCGTTGGCAGCGAGGGTCGAGGCTGTTCATAACGCGTGCCCCCCCTGCGCCAGAGTGCTGTGGATGCACTGATAGAGGGACGCACGGATGCGCGCCAAAGAGTTAGCGACCCCACCCGCCGATCGACCTAGCCGGTCGGCGATGTCCTTGACGCTGATCCCGTCGGAGTAGGCCGCCGTGACAATGGCTGCATCCGCCTCACGCAGCTTGGCCAGGCAGGCCGCTAGCGCCCGGCGCCGCTCAATCCGGCTCTCGGGGTCCTCGTCTTGCTGCGTGGTTGCGAGCATCTCGATCGTTTCCGTGTCAAGCGAGGGAACCCGCTTGGCCCGCAGATGGTTCATCGCTTTGTACCGAGCGATTTGGCAGCCCCAACCGACGAAACTGCTGCCGGGCTCGAAGTCGCCGAACTTCTGCCACATCGTGAGCACGGTCTGCTGAAATAAGTCTTCGGCGTCCTGAAAGCCTGGCACGATCGCACATAGGAAGCCCAGCAGCTGAGCCTCGTGGAGGATCAACAGCTCAAGAAACGCTTCCCGGTCACGTCCGTCGCCCGCCTGGGACATGGTTTCTCCGCCTGAAGAGAGCAGCAATCGATGCCGTGAGACCTCGTCGAGGAGCCTCACCATTGGAATGTGGCGACCGATTCTTCCGTCACGATGAAATTGGCCGTTTTTTACAAGATCGATGGGGAGACGGTGTCGCCCAACCGCGACGCCGCCAATAACGGATGACTTTGTCTTNNCGCCGGACAAAGTTACCCGCGCATGCCCATGAAGCCGCAAAACTGTAGGCAGAGCCGCTGCACCGACAACGACGGGCACAAGGCGCCTGCGATTTGTCGCGTCCCGTTCGGGAGAAGAGACAAACGGCATCGAACGGGCCGACACCGGTTAACCTTGCTTTCGAGCAATTCTGCACTGGTATCGATGAAAGAGTCA